TCCTCTTGTATTCTAGGCTGGCCTTCAAGTTGCTATGTAGCCAAGAATGGTTTGGGACTCCTGACCCTCCTGCCTCACCTCCTGCCTCCTGGGTTACAGGTGTGCTCCACGACCCCAGATTTACACAATGCTGGGATGGAGCCCAGGGAACTATGTATGCTAAGCAAGACTCTGCCAAACAAAGGACATTTCACCTCCCTTGTTTTTCTTTACATTTTTTATACATTTATTTTGTGTGCACATATGTATGTTTACACATGCATGTTCCTGGTCTGATCCAATTCAGTGAATATATTAAATTACATCTTTTTAAGTCTCTTTAATCTGGAGCAGTTTCTTGGGCTTTACCTTTTATTATCTTAATACATTTTCCATGTCAGATGAGTCATGTTTCCACATAATAAGGCTCCAGGGAGAGCTCACATGTGGTATAAAAACCCAATCATCAAGCTTATGAACCACAAAAGGACCCATTAGTATTTTTACGGAGCGAGCAGGCCAGTTATATAGAATGTCCCTGAATTTTAGGTTGTTTGTTGTTTCCTTCTAATTAGATTCCAGTTGCTAATTTTGGATAGCTGTGTCTCAGAAGGGAAGTTGCACGGCTCTCAGAGGATCATCTGTAGAAGCATACAGAATCTATTGTCTACCCCTAAGTGTGTTAAATTAGAGGCCTTGCTGTGTTGCCCAGTCTAGTCCTGTGCTCAAGTTATCCTCCGGCCTTAGTCTCCCAAGCAGCTGGAACCATGAGTCCACACTTAGCATAGCAGCTTTATCATAGCTGAAGTTAGTTATTTGCTAACTTTCTCACTGTGAAGTTACTCCTCTTCCCTTTATAACTATTAAATATCCTTTACGAGGTTCAGGACACAGTTCTGTAACATTTGCAGAACTTGTCTACCATGCTGGAGTTCTTGCTTCTGACGCCAGCTTTCCAAAAGAAAACCAAATATTTTTTTGTGTGTGTGGAGGATTTGATGCTGATTGTGTTGATACAGAAGTGCCAACATTTCACCCCATAGTGTTAGCATCCACTGACAGTGTTTGAAGAAAAACTTTGCTTTGTTCTTTTCCTAAGAAAGGGTCTTGCTGTATCGTCTAGGAGGAATTCAAACACAGGACTGTGCTCAGGGCTGTGCCTCCTGAGTGCTCCCAGCATATTATGTGACATGATGCCCAGCTAAATTTTTGCTTTTTGAGACAGAGTGTCACAGTGGGAATCCGGCTTACCTTGTGCCTGCAATCTTCTGCTTCCACCTCCTGAGTGCATTACAGGCACACGCCAGCCACCACGACTGTCGAAAACTTTAGTCATGATTATGGTCACTGCCCAGTGACATTTCCTCTTCAGCCTTCGGCTTGCCTTCCCGGGTCAGAACTTTCCCCTTTCCCAGGTGGCTCTGGTGTTTTCTGTTGATGCTGTCGTTGTTTGGTGCTGGGGATCCTCAGAGCGTCACGCATGCTTAGGCAGAGCCTCTCCTGCTAGGCGAGCTTTGTGATACATTAAAAAAAGAATCTTTTATAAATAGCATATGTAGCGCCTTCATTCTCTTCCGCTCCCTCCTCCCCTCCCTCTGTTTCTCTCTCTGCCTCTCTCCCTCCCTCCAGCTCTCCTCTCTCCACAGGGGCTTGCCCTGTAGCTGACCTGGACCTCTAACTCCTCCTGCCTTTGCCTTGCTTTGGGCCTAGGTTAGTTGATTTGACCAGCACACTGGAGGTGGGGGTGGGTAGGAGAAGCAGGTTAATTGATTTGTTGGTAGTGTGTCTTATCTGGTATACAGTTGGCAGCAGATGTCTTTGGCCATCCTTATGCTTTCCTCAGACATCTACTGTGTTTCCTAATTCTCCCCTAAGGGCGCTTTTATCAAGGGACTAGCCTGTCTTCCCTTTTATCTCTCAGTAACATTTGCTGACAGCTACATCTTCCTCTGACCACTATGTCCCCTGGTTCCTCAGACACGATCTTCTTTTGGCTCACCTGCTTTATTGACCTGCTCAGCCATTTTAATTGAATTTAGAACATTAATTATGAGGCACGTGTGGTGGTGCATGTCCTAAATCCCAGCAACCAAACAGAGGCAGGCTGATCTCTGTAAATTCAAGGCCAGCTCGGTCTACATAGTGAGAGCTCCAGGCCAGCCAGGACTACATAGTGAGGTCGTGTCTCACAAACAAACAATTAATTGTGTATTTGTGTATCTGCATATAGTGCAAGCGGCAGAGGAGGCCAGAAGAGGTGGTTGGCTCTCCTGGAATTGAAGTTACAAGCCATTGTGAGCTCTCATATGTGGGTGCTGGGAAATGAACTTGGGTCCTCTACAAGTTAACCACTGAACCATCTCTCTAGCACTCAGCTGAATTTTTTTGGATACAGGGTTTTGCTCTGTTTCTCAGGTTAGTCTTGAACCCCTGAGCTCAAGTGATTACTTTGTCCTGTCCTTCTGAGCCTCAAGGAGTGTAAGACATGGGAACAATGCCTCTACTAGTTACTAAACCACTTCCCATTTTGAGGTGGGATCTTTCTGGGTCACTACCTAGGCTAACTTCAAACTAAAGATCTTGCTTCAGGCTCCTAAGTGCTGGGATTACAGGAATGGACTGGAACAGACCATCGCACCCAGCCTCGCTCAGCTTCCCGTTACCCACCTCTACATTCAGCAGGTCCACACAGATCAGTCCTAGACATTCTTGTCTTCCTGCAGCACCCTGTCCCCTGCCAGGCTTCTAATCTTCAGTAAATGGCTATATCTAATTAGGGTTCATCTAATCCTATATACTGAGACAAACACTCTCCTACTGATCTATGTCTCCAGCCACAATCATATACATTTAAACACGATTTACGATTTGGTGAATAGGACCAGGTATGTAACTTTGTTGGTGGAGTATTTGCCAATTGTGGAAGAGGCCATGGGATTTGACCCCTAGAGCTGCATAAATGGGGTGGGTATGTGGGAATTGTGAGCAGGAGGTTTCGAAGTTCAAGGTCCTCCTTTGCTATACAGGGAATTAGAGAACAGCTTGGGTTCTAAAAAAAAAAAAAATCTGGTGAATACTAAAATTGTCTTTCTAAACCCAGTCTTGCAGGGCAGGGGTGGCGCACGCCTTTAATCCCAGCACTCGGGAGGCAGAGCCAGGCGGATCTCTGTGAGTTCGAGGCCAGCCTGGTCTACAGAGTGAGATCCAAGACAGGCACCAAAAAAAACTACACAGAGAAACCCTGTCTTCCCCTTCAATCCCAACCATAGTGTTTCCTCAATTTGAAAAGGTATTCATTCATTCATTCATTCATTCATTCATTCATTCACTCACTTATTTTGTCTCTTTCTCCATCCCTTCCTTCCTTCCTTCTTGCCTGCCTGCCTTTCAGGGACTCATTGTATAGTCCTGGCTGACTTGGAACTCAATTTGTAGAAAAGGCTGGTCTTGAACT